AAATAAGTAAAATCCTGCTCCATTGTAAAGTCCTTTTGTGTATCGCTATCGTACTGCTTAAAGCTTATCGCAGCAAATGGCATCGGAGGGCTTTTTGTCATCCATTAGACCCACTTGTCGATAAGACAACCTTTTGTTCTCTCCCACTTTCAAGTCTTCCACTTAATGAATTTTATCCATTACTAGATGTTAAGGCTTTTTATCATTTTACATCAATGTTAGGCAGAGTGTGGCACTGACTTGATTTCTGTCAATGAGTGGTGGGTTTTGGGTGATTTCGTGCATGATGGAGATACGTAATTGGATACACTGGATTCCACAACAAGCGCACTTGATGCAGAAAACGCCCTGAAGGCTACTTTTAGCCTTGACCTCCTCGTGTCTTCCACTTACTGTACATTATCTTTCCGCAGCAGTAGCAGCCTCTTCTCTTAGACAGTTGCCCTTCAAATGGTGACTTAGTTTTGAAGTTTGATCCACAAGGGATTTGGAATACTCAAGCAAGCTTTTTTGTCTGGGAAAGAATTGTTTAAAGGAAGAAGAGAAATGTGCACTGTTTCCAACTTTTACCTTTTCATTATTAAAAAGGTAAGGAGGACGTTGGAGTTCCTGTTTAGAAGGAAATCAAGATGCATTCAGATAAAAATGATTTTGGAATAATCGCTAGCTTGATTACGTATTTTCAAAAGCATATTTTTACCTTCTTTGAGATAACACGAGATTTTACGTGCACCAGTCCCATAGTTTCTGGCCATTTCCATCTTTGCCTTATATGCACGTAATCGGTTCCGGTTTTCCCCCCTTCCACCTCTGCCTTCGTGACTCTACAACAAGACAATTAGTTGGAGGATGGTAAATCGTCCCTTAGAAGTATGGTGAATGTGGAGAGGCAATTAAGAATAGATGCGGATCTAGGTTTTCCATTCATAGGGGTCAACATTGTCCGCTCAGACATGTGGTTAGTGTGTTCTGCCTGTATAGCAACACTGATTATTTCATTTACACTTCGTATTTGGCTGGATTGCCAATGCACCAGTGAAGGACTGTTCCTTCGTCATTGCGAGTATTAGGTACAATGTAATGGACACAACAGGTGCTACTGCTGCGGCTAAGTACAGGCACATTCCTGCAACTGGCGTACAGGCCTACTCAGCATAACTGCCACCGAGTGGAAGTGTTAGCCTTTGTCGCAACGTTTTGGCTCATCAAGGTGGACTGCCTGGCAGTATACTTGCCAGCATCTGGACATGCAGTCAAAATTGAGGGTGGGACGACATTCTGCTACTTTAATGCAATCACCTCCTTAACAGACAATCCAAAGTGTGCTGAGTGTGTTGAAAGTTTAACCTTCTCTGCATTTTGCTGACGCCGACAATAGCCTATCATAACAGAGAAACTCTCTGGACTGAATTTGTCTGACATGATATTTTCACTAGCAGATTATGATGTTAAGCTTTTCTCTAGGAGCTGATGCAGCCACCAACTATCACACCGAAATCGGGAGTGGCCCATGTTTCCTCAGCCAGTCAGTAAGAAGCCCATATTTGGTGTGCTTGGGCACATGTGCTTGGGAAGCTCGGCTTTGGCAATGGTTAATGGTCAGATACAAAAGCTGCAAAATGCCCACCATTGAGACGTGCGCCACAGACTCCGACTATCCATCTGTCCATTTGGTCGATTTGCAGCTTTACTGCCAAAAGCGAAGCAATAATGTGTAGGCGATACATCTGCATGAAGTCCGCCTACATGGCAGTGTTTGCGTTGTTGACAGAAGTAGTAGGCGGACAGCCAAGACAATGTGGCGTAGCACCCTGAGACTGGCGTATACTGACATGCCGTAGTCAAATTCAGAACGTCTTTTCTTTTGACCTTACACTCGGCAATATGTAACTTACTATTCGTCATAGAGGAGGCAGCCGTTAGGCTTCCTGCGCACAACAACCCTGTTGGCAGCAAACACTAACGCACGGCCATAAGGAGTGTCTGGTGGACAATTTTAGTGAGGAGATATTACGGGGCATAGGATAGAGTGCTAAAATTTGCCTGTAAATTCTGTCCTGCAGCCACTTCGTAGATGATAGATGCCCTCATTCTGGATACTGTCAGGTCGTCGTTTAAAGTGTGGAGAAGTGAATGAGCAACAGTGGCTACTAATTCTCTGTATAGGCGGTTAACAGCATCATAATTTGAATCACCTCTTTCCACCGCTACCACATTGTCAAACTTGTGGCTGTTAATCTTGCACAAATACCTCAACTTCCACTTTGTTGCCAACCCAAGGAAATATTTTTGAGTGGGAAACTAAATTGGCTCTATCCACGTCCATATTGCCTGTTGGAGTGTTGGGAGCAGAGGGCTCGTGATTCGCTACTACCCCCTTCAAAATTTCAACACCCTGGCAGTTATGCACCGCTCAATTTGAGGAAAGATCAAGGGTGACATTTAGAGGAGCTAATCATTGCAGTTGCTTATACATCTTTCAGCCTTTCATAATTGACGGACTTGTGCATTGCTGACGAGGCGATTCGCTGGTCAGGTGACTTGGGTCAGTCAATTAGAATTTGTCAGAAAGAGTGTTGTGAGGAGTTGTGACATCTGGGACAATTATACAGGCAAGATGCCCACCACAGCTATCACAAGATCCATCTTCCTTCAAGTGACGTGCATGTAGTGTGAAGTTGATAAGAGGAATGGGTAACATCTCCATTTCCAATTAACTGTAATTCTTTTTGATCCAGTTGTGGGTTTCATGAAGGCACAGATTAACTGGTAATGAAATGCATGCCTTCTTGACCCTCAAGTTAATGCCGCATTCCCCTTATCGTTACCACAATTCCCAAATCCAGCCCCACAAGATGGGGTGGAAGACGAGATTTTTACACCAGAGCAAGGAAGTGAGTACAATAATTGCAGTTCTGAATACTTCATCGAGCGATACTTCTCACATTTCGTCATGTCATAGCCATGAATCCCAAATTCCACACCTTGAAACAAATGAACACTTTGGCATTTTGTGATAGTTAGTGGGAATAAGTAAGCAAACTCGCTTACAAATTTTAACATTATTTTTGACGGTTTGCCATCACGCGCTGGCTGGATTGAATCTGCAGCCAACTTACCAATGAAGGTGCGTGTGGATCCCAAAATTGGCAGTTGTTTGGGTTACGAAATGTTGTAAAGTGCCGCATAGATTTTCGGTGAGTG